GTGGAAGGGGGATTGGGAGGTGGCTGCGGCAGCAGGAGCTGAACTGAACACGTCTAACCGCTTCCCCCCTCCACGGTACGACTCTTCCACCCGCCGGCGGCCCCAATATGGCGTCAATAACAACGCCGCCGATTCAAATCCTGCGGTCCCAGGGCGCGTGCGCAGAGGGGCGGGCCCACTCGCGCGCCTATTCTGGGAGTTGTAGTTTTTCGCTACAGGGAGAAATCGGCGTGAAAGGCGGTTAGGGAGCAGTCGTAGACACTACGACTCCCGTCAGGCAAGGCGCGCGACTCCGAGTTCCGGGTTGGAATTTAAATCCCCCATGCACAGCTTGTGTGTAAATGGAACTCCGCAAAAGAGAAAAAGAAAAGGCTGTGAGACAGTTGGAGAGGGAAGGGAACCAGTGGAGAAAACAAGCTAAGGGACATAGAGACCCTTTAAAACTCGGGACATAGTTGCTCCCACAGTGATTTAACAACTGAGAAATAACTTAGCCAACCTGATAGCCCAAACCACCTTAATTTCCGTATCGAGAGTGCCAGAACCTGTCACATCAGGAAGATAGGAAGTAATAAGATTATGAAAGCTGTTTAGGATTACGAGAGAGAACAACAGTAATAATATCAAATTACCGAGTCCTTGACTGAACTCGATGCTTTGCCTTTTCCAGGTAGCAGTTTGCATCCACTCATTAAATTCGCAAAGCCAGCTTTGCTTTGGTAAATAGGATTTGAACCACCCACAAAATTGTTTTGCTCTGTGTAAATAGCTAATGATACCAGGAATTGTATTATCTCTGCTGAGTATTAGTGTATGTCTTGTGAACAATAAAACAACAAAAAGACATAAATTGTCTAGTAGTAGATATTGTACCCATTTGTAAACAGAAGGGGAAAAGGAGTGTTCTAAAAGTCCTATTATTAACCAGGTACCTAACGTAAGAATCAAATACAGAATTAACTTTTTTTTTTGGATAGGTTTTTGTTTTTGTTTTTGTTTTTGTTTTTTTTGCTATAGGGCGCGTGCGCTCCCCAGACAGAGAGAGACACAGAGATAGAAAGCGAGAAATCACCCCTCCCCCCCAGGGGGGATGGCCACGCCGCAATCCCTTCTCCTCCATTCTCCTCTCTGGATCTTGGGCACGCATTGCACGCGCCTGGTGTGAGTTTTAAGCCACCAGTCAGGGACGCGAACTGCGGTCAACTACATGGGAGTCCTGCGACATAGCCATTACGCTAACTGCTGGTCCCCACAGTTAATTTTTTTTTTTTTTTTGAGAGATTTCCACTGTAGGGCGCGTGCGCTCGCCAGACAGACAGAGAGAGACATAGAGACAGAAAGCGAGAAATCACCCCCCAGGGGGGATGGTCACGCCACAATCCCTTCTCCTCCATTCTCCTCGATCTTGGTCACGCACGCACACGCGCCCGGCGTGAGTTTTAAGCCACTGGGTCGGGGACACGAACCGCGGTCGACTACGTAGGAGTCCAGCGATATAGCCATTACGCTAACTGCTGGTTCCCCCCTCCCCCGCAGTTAATTTTTTTAACAAAGTGATTTATGAGGGCTGTTGGTGTACTGGCTATGTCACTGGACTCCCATGTAGTCGACCACGGTTTGAATCCCGGACCAGGTGGCTTAACCTCCCAAGATCCTGAGAGGACAGTGGCTTAACCTCACAAGATCCCAAAAGGAGAATGGAGAAGGGATTGCAGTGTGGCCATCCCCCCACCCCCAGGAGGGGGGGAGATTTCTTGCTTTCTGTCTCTGTTTTTCTGGGGAGTGCACACGCCCTATAGCAGAAACCTCTCCAAAAAAAAAAAAAAAGTGATTTATGTAGAAAGTTACCAGTCCTCTTCCTATAGAAATGATCACGAGTCTGAGACAAAACTAATGATCATATGCTAATGCTGTATTATTTTTTTTTCTTTTATTGGAGAGTTTGTTTGTTTTGTTTTGGCTACAGGGAGCATGTGCTCACTAGAAAGCCAGAGACATACATGTAGCAATAGAAATCGAGAAATCACACCCCAGTGGGGATGGCCACGCTGCAATCCCTTCTCCTCCATTCTCCTCTCGGGATCTTGGGCATGCATGCACATGTGCTCGGCGTGAGTTTAGGCCACCGGGTCAAGGACTCAAACCGCAGTCGACTACATGGGAGTCCAGCGACAAAGCCATTACGCTAACTGCTGGTCCCAGCTAATGCTGTATTATTAAATGATTAAAAATACCACATCCTGACGGACAATGCTCATTCTTGTCATTTATTCAGTAGTAGGTGTTTTGCAGTTTTGTCTATTATTTGTTATGCAATTTTGAACAGTAAGTATGCCAATATATTGTGTTTTATAGAATTGTCCCATGCCTCAAAGATAGCAGTCCTGGTCAGACTGCATCAACAACTAATTTTAATTTAGGGTATAGTACTGTTTGGAAAGTCTTTTTTCTTTCTTTTCTTTCTTTTTTTTTTTTTTTGGAGAGGTTTTTTGCTATAGGGCACGTGCGCTCGCCAGAAAAACAGAGACAGAGAGACAAACAGTGAGAAGTCACCCCCCAAATGGGATGGCCACACCGAAATTCCTTCTCCTCCTTTATCCTCTCAGGATCTTGGGCACGCATGCACACACACCTGGCGTGAGTTTAAGCCACCGAGTCCAGCGACATAGCCATTACACTAACTGCTGGTCCCACAAAGTCTTTTTAAAAATAGATCAGCATTAAAACAAACAAACAAACAAAAAAGATCAGCATTTACTGAGACAGCGGCTTAACTAAGACACCGACAAGATAAACTTTTACTAAATTCTAACTACTCCAGGAAATCCATGTTACTGTGAAATTAGCAGAATATGCCTATTTTATGCAAAGGAAGAGAAAGTATTTTATCCATGCAGAACAGATAAGAGCATTTATGTTCTTGGTAAATATTTCTAAAGTTAAGATTAGACTTTAAGTTACAAAATTTAACATTAAAAGGGGAATATCTTGAGTTGAACTGTGTCCCCTTCAAATATTTTGAAGTCCTAACTGTCAATACCTCAACGTGGTATTCTTATAAAAGGGAAATTTGGACACAGATCACCACCTGAACATGAAGGCAGAAGTTGGAGTGATACTTCTATTAGCCAAGGAACACCAAAGATAGTCAGCAAACTAGGAGGTTAGGACATAGACTTTCCTCCAAGGAGTTAACTCAGCCCTGACTACACCTTGTTCTATTCCAGAACCCCAAAACAGTGAATAAATTTCAGTTGTTTAAGTCATCCAGTTTTTTATACTTTGTTACTGCAACAGCAGAACACTAATGTGGGATGGGGATCTAGACTAATTGCCTAGAAAATGAAGAAAGTGTTGTATTTAAAAGTGACGGGGGATACCTGGTAAACTTGACAGTTCAGGCATAATAGCTACCCTTGAGGTCACCACTGTACAGCACACCTGCAAGGGCTGTCAAGATTAAGCCATGACAGGGCTGGATTGCCTCTTCTACCAATGGTTGAGGAAACTTTCAGAAATTAGAAGGACAAGGAGGACCCTTCCCTATTCACCTATGTCTTTGCCCAGACTCCTAGCTCTTTGCTTGCCTTTTAAGACTCAACTCAGGCATTAACTCTTCTAGGAAGCCTTCCTGGAAGAGGCTTCAAGGCTAAGTTGGTTTTATAGACTCACTGAGAAAGAGACCCTTATCTGCACATTTTCATCATTATTCTCACCACATTGCAATATAATTATCTGTTCATGAATCTGCTTTTCCCACTACTGTTAGCTCCTCACCCATGGTACAGTACCTTGCACATGTCAATAAATGCCCATTGAATGTTTCTTAAGTAAATATTTTTATCATCCTATCCTATCAATATCCACATTATTCTTGTCCCTTAAGACATGTCTACTAAAATAATTATTGTTTTTTAATTTGCTGCAGGGTGCTAATTGCTGGAGAGAGAGAGGGAAAGTGAGAAAGCACCCTTCTGTGGGAGTTGCGGGGGACCACTATGCAATCCCTTCTCCTCCAGTCCCTTCTCAAAATGTTGGCTACACCTGCACACACACCCATTGTGTTTTTCAAGTTGCCAGGTCTGGGACTCAAACTGCACTGTTGGCTCTGTGGGATCCAGCAGCCTTAACCACCACACCACTGGCTGGCCCTAAAATACTATTAACAAACCATCTAGGTGAAAGAAAGCTGCTAGAGGAGGGAAATAAACTCCACAAAAATATTTCTGAGGCTAAAATTGAAAATAAAAATAATACTTGAAAGCCGAAGTCTTAACATAGTTTAAAGGTGAATTTTAATTTTGTTGTCAAGAAGAAAAAGGAAACTATATATAACACAATAATATTGAGTTGTTGGAAAATCATGATGCATTTTTGCATAGAAAAACAAAACACATCATGACTTTTCTGACAACCCAATAGTTGAATCGGGTCACATGAATCTAAATATATAGTACATCTAATGTCTCCAGTGGCCTACTCAAACCAGAATTGCTCTTGTTGTGACCAAAAGGTCTGTAAAAAGTTTTAAAAGATTGAA